CGAAACAAAAGAAAGAGGGACAGAGTTCAATGGGTTCCAGAGTCCCCATTGAAATATTTTATAATAACAAATAAATATCATTTAAAATTTGTGGGAGACCATTTATTGTCTTGCCTAGTCAAGGAACTGTGCTTATTGGAGGACAAGGGAAAAGCACTAGAGTGGATAGATTATCGCATGGATCCCCAGAAAATTACACAAATATATTCTCCACTGAGATAGATGTAATAATCTCATAGGATAAACCAAATACATCTTAAATAGATTAAACTTTATGTATATGTCTGTATTCACCTACAATTAATATATGGATACTAATAGCATAATGAACATCCAGGTTAATATTTCAAGATAATGAATGGCATGAACCAAAAGGAAAAGAATGTAAAACACTGATTTATTGAATATTTTTTCAACATGAATTTCTCTAATTGCTTGTGTGTGTGCACGTTTGTGTGTGTTTGCACCCATGCACACGTACTCACATGCATGCAGGCATGTGGAAGTCAAGAGAAGTCTTAGGAGTTTGTACTTTCCTGCCACCTTGTAGGATCAGGAGATTGAGCTCAGGTAGCCAGGCCAGCATGCAAATGCCTCTGCCCACTGAGCCACTTTATCCACTGAACACCCCTTTACAACAGAAATCATTGTTAGTGGTATATAAAGAAAAGCAAACTAGGGATGCACTATCAGAATTCATACATGTTAAATTCTATGTATGTGTCTGTATGTATATGTATGTATATATTCACATATTCACAACTACAAATATGCAAATCATAAACATACAACAATGGAAAATACCTACAAAACCTTCATACAGGTGAAAAATATCAACAAATAGTTACAAAGCAAAGTATTATTGATAGTATTTATTAAATAAATGAAACCCCAAATTCCACACTTGTCACACAATTTAATTAACAGTAACTAAACTAGTCATAGGTAAATTTTCACCTATGTTATTATAAAGCATTTAAGTCTACAACCCTGAAATTTCCTTGTGCTGAAGTCTATACTAGAGCACTTGGAGAAGCTGCTAAGTAGAATATTCTGGAAGATAAATTTAGACTATTCATTGGGAACCTTTAAATATCCTATTCACCTTAGCTCAATAATCCTCTTATTAACTTTTTATTTCCTTAAAAAATCTATAGGGCCTTGACCAACAAGCATGAAAAGAAACAATACTACTATGTTATATGCCAAAAAATATCAGGCCACCTAAAAAAGTAATATATTCTTGTTATAGTCACAAAATATTTTTTAAAATTACATGATATATAATTACTTTATATGATTATATATAATCAAAATTTAAAATTACGATAATTATCTGAGTCTCCTTAAGAAAAAATAAGTTTCAAAGAGATTGCAAAAAAATAACCAAATCTTATTATTCTCTTAATAGTGAGATGTGTGATTTTTTATGACTGTATATAAAATTCTAAGTTGTAAAAAAATACAGAATGGTGTGTCAAAATTATCCAGTAAACAGTTTATTAATGGGCAGCAATTTAGAAGCGGTTTAAATTAGATCTTGTCTCACTTTGCACACAGGAATACCTTTGTTTACTCTTTTAATATAATATTTTCTGTACCTATTTGAATGCTAACAATGTAGACCTTTGTATTCTGATCACTTTGCACCCCAATGACTGAAATCACTATGAAACCTTTGGAAAAACTTACTGAATAGCTCATTTAATCTAGTACACATGCAGAAAATAGTAAGTACCCATATGAAATACAGATTCATCTGAGCGTTAGTCCAGTGTGACATTTTGCCTCTCTCTGCTAGGCAGTTTGCTTCCTAGCTCTGCTAACCTCACGTTTCTTTGGCTTTTTGGCCTTATTTCCTCTTAGCTTGGGCAATTTTAATTAGTGAGATTTCTTTGGCTCAATTGAACATTCAAGATGTTAAGCCTTCAGCCTGAAGCAGTTCACTTGAGTCATCTTAAGTTTGTCTCTAAGAAGTTCATCATCTCCCCAAGGGTTTTTCTAAAACCCATCGCCACCTTCCCCTGGGTAGCTAAAATCCCCCCTCCATCTTCTCACTTCCTTGTATTGTCTGTTCACTTGTCTTGATTGAGTTTAATAACAAGAATTTATCCATATTTCTATCTTCAGTTTCAACCACATACCAGATAATAGCAGGCATCTAGTTCTATCTGAAGAAAACAGGGCCAAATGAACATTCCATCATTCCATTGTGGTTATTTGTGGGTTTTTGTTTGTTTGTTTTCATTTTTTTTCTTTTTTTTTTTTTTGGTTTTTCAAAACAGGGTTTCTCTGTATTGTTTTGGAGCCTGTCCTGGAACTTGCTCTGTAGACCAGGCTGGCCTCGAACTCACAGAGATCCACCTGCCTCTACCTCCCGAGTGCTGGGATTAAAGGAGTGCACCACTAAAAGGGAATCTTTTAAAATGATGCCAATCTTCAAGGCATAGGCCACAGACTACTCAACAAAGATAACTAGAAACTAGAGATGATGATGCTTTTATTTGGTTCCCATAGCACATGGGGTATTTCTCTATTACAAATCACTAGGTTCTGTCTTACACACACACACACACACACACACACACACACACACAGAGAGAGAGAGAGAGAGAGAGAGAGAGAGAGAGAGAGAGTTACTGGTGTGTGTCTATGTTTATGTGTGTTCTTTGCTGGTTGGGTTTATGTGTCCAAGTAGCTAGTCTTAGGTCCTCATCTATTTGCACCCACAGCTCCTGGCAAGGCCCTGTAAGGGAAGGGATCAGTGCATACCCATTGAATGTTGAATGTACCTAATTAAGCAGATAGCCTACCCCACATTCTAGTATGGGTTATATTTTAGATATACTAGAACTAATGTCTGTGTTTAAAAATGAGTTCTCAGAAGACACCAGTGGTTCACGTTTTTAATCATGTTTTCTGGGAAACACATGTATGAGATCAGGTTGATGCAGTAAGGTGATTACTTCTTTTCTTCTTGAACAATATAAGATATATAAGAAATATAAGATAGGTTAATTGTTTTATGGCATCTAAATAACCAAAAAGGAATGTGTAAAATGTTTTCAAATAGTGCTTATAACTTTCCATAAATATTTTTTGGGGTTTTTGGAGACAGGGTTTCTCTGTGGCTTTGGAGGCTGTCCTGGAACTAGCTCTTGTAGATCAGGCTGGTCTCCAACTCACAGAGATCTACCTGTCTCTGCCTCCCAAGTGCTAGGATTAAAGGCATGTGCCACTACTGACTGGCTCCATAAACATTCTTATGCTTTGCCTGATGATCTGGGTAGGAATCAGATGTTGAGAATTAAAGTCATTTTTGCAAGTTTTGAAATTTTCTCAGACACTCCTGTCAAGAGTCATTGTTCAGTCATAGGGAGACTTGAATCATAACCATCCCAGAGTGTGAGGATGGCAGAAATCTTGAGATGCTCATACTACTTTTTAGGAAGGAATCCAAGCATTGGAATGATGTTTAAATGCATTTATTTGAACCTACAGATGACACTGGTTAGGGCAATTTAAGGTTGTGGAACCTTAAATATATGTCATCTTCAGCACAAGCATTCTGTGCAGCAGCCAGTCATGGGCCCTTGCCATGAGTGCAATGCCACGCTCAGTGTCTGAAGTAGTCTAGGAGGATGCTCTCTGGAAAGCCAGTGTCTGTAAAACTTTAGACTAGAAGATTTTAACCATTCGCTGTGTTCTGCTTAACTAAAATAATGACAAAATTGCTTTGGGATACAGAGCAATATTACCATTTATTCAGAAGCATAACCAAATTGTGTTACTTTATTACTTGTGCATGCACATAGCTAGCTACTTGAATAATCTTTCAAAATGAGCAACATAGGGATGATGACACAAAAATTAGTTCATCGCCAAGCATTTTTCTCTTTGGTATCTTATGTATGCATCAACTAATTAACCCATGAGACTTAGACAGGGTAAGCATGCTAGGAATTAAATGTTTAAAGGCCAACTTAGACAAGAAGACTTTAGAGTCTTCAAACTTTAGCTGTTATGCAGATCTGTATAATGACTTATTTCTTAAGACCAAATGTGAAAGACTCACATCTAAAACTTCATTTATAATCAGTAACTATAATAATTATCTTTAAAAATTCTTATTCATTTTCCATTTTTAATACTTTTGACCAGTACTTATTAATGAGATGTTGCTGTGACTTTGTCTGCCATAGCCCCCCAGAATTACTTCATGAAATAACTGAGCTGTTCTGGTGTGTACTGCTTTCAAATAGTAGGATACTGTGACAAAATACTAAAAAAAAAAAAAGCAGCACTAGGAAGAGTCTATTTGTACTCATAGTGTGCTGCTTATCTGGTTTACTCAGCTTCTGGTTAGTGCCCACAGTGGCAGGGAAGGCATGGTGGCAGGAGCAGAAGCCGCTGGTCACACTGTCATGGTCTGCTTATGTTCCCCTTCTCATGCAGCCTGAAACCCCAGTCCCTGGAATGATAATGACAACACATGGCGTCATCTTCATACTTCAATTGACACAATTTAGAAAATTCCTCATAGACACACCCAGAGACTTGTCTTCTAGGTGATTCTACCAGTCAATTTTAACCCCCATGTACATTTTACAGTCTTAGTAAATTACAACCACACAGCTTACATTGTCTTTATTTGTACCAAGTCTGAGGCAGGAAAGCTAAATGTAGAAATCATTTTTTTCTGAAGTATCCTGCTGACAAACAGCTACAATTAAAATCTGAAGTATCATCCCATGTAGACTGTCAATACTCGTGCTGTCTACAGCCGTGTTTATGATTACTAATGAGGGTACCCTGAGACATCTGAGGGGATGACAAATGAGAAACTGAAAATATTCTAATGTTATTAAACCTCAGATTTCATTAGGGTTCTAATTCATTTTTGTCCTTTTACTTATAAAAGGCATTCACTATCAATAAGTATAGAAAACAAATAAGAGAGTAAAAACAGAAAGCATGTTGTAACAGGAAGAGCAGAGTTCATGGTACCCGTCACAACAGATACCAATGAGCAGAGACGTGAATTGGATCGCCTTCAAGCTGTGCTTTATCCAGAGAGACAGCAGCTTGGGAAGACAGAGGCTCAGCATCCCCAAATAGCTGCCTGCTTTCTGATCTCCAGTGACCACCTCTTACAGGAGATTAGGACCAAGGTAGCCATTATTCCAAAGTTTAGTGTCATCCCTCCGGCCTCATGGTCAGCTTTGTCTCAGACTGTACAATGCATGTGCTTCCTTCATTTTTATTTCCTGCCTTCTCCCTCATCATCATCTCTTTGTTCACATACGCCCAAAGCCACCGAGCTCATCTCAAGATGATGCATAGGTCAAAGTTTAACTTGTAGCAAACAAACCATCAGCAGTGTGCAACTGCTGAGCTATTTACAGTGTGTACATACCGACTCCCTTTTACAATATGAAGTACAAAAATGCCGTTATAATACAGAATATAAAACACTCTTATATAGCACTCTTGTTCCATATCAGTATCAGCAAGTGTGCCTTAAAGAAAGACCTGTTACTTAACACAGCCCAACTGCTTCTGCAGCAGGGAGGGAACGCCCTGGTGGTTAATACTGTCAACTTTACAGGATCTAGAATTATCTAGGCATGATTGTCAGGGACTCTTAGGGCTAGGTTAGCCTGTAAGCATGCCTGTGAAGCATTTTCTACATTGGGCTACCCTCTGGTAATGTCTTCTAGAGATCATCTAGATTATGAAATGGGAAGACCCACCCTGAATGTAGGTGGCACAGTTCCGTAGGCCAGGGACATAGACTACAGAGAAAGTGAGAAAGAGAGCTGAGTGTGAGGCTTTACTCCTATTTCCTGGAGCACGACCAACTCCCTCAGGCTCATGACATAGTGACTTTTCTGGCAGGATGGACTATACCCAGGATGTGTGAGCTGAAAGAAGTCTTTTCTCCTTTAAACTGTCATTGTGAGATTTTTGTCCTGACAACTAATAGATCAAGTAATACAGAATATATTATATCAAGTTACCTGGTAAGATAAATATCTCCCTAGTTCATGTTTAGATCATGAAGGGGATCATCAAGCACACTAGCATTGCATAAAACACAGTGATCAACCCATCATTTGGTGCTTCTGATTGATATTTGCAAGTCCTTTTCTGGTTTTGAGGTGAGTATATGCTTCATAGTTCATTTAATCCTCACCAAAATGCTGTTCTGGGCATTACATGAGTATCACTGTCATGGAGCAGAACGGCTGGAGTGACCCAGAGAATACCTTGTCCCCTAACTCCAGTCATGACAGCACAATGATCAAAACAATCTGGTGTCAGCTAGTTCTGAGGTCATATAAACAGAGCTGTTAACGGTCCCAGTAGCCATGATGCTGCTTTCATGAGTCAACACCCACTTTGAGCTGAGACTTTCTGGTGATATAAACAGCTGTTGAGTCACTCATGTTCCTGTGAGTAGCCCCTACAAACTCATTAAATGGATGTAAACAGAATGGTAATTTTGGTCTATTGGTATTCTATCTGGGCTAGGGACGTTTCTTCATGTCTCCCTGAGAGAATATACTTTTTATAATAGGATTTTAAAAGTAAGAGAGAGACAACAGAGATCATATGATTCATACTTCACAGATTAGGAAATTGGGGTCCTAGAATATTTGAAGTTTCAAAAGATAATGGCCAGCATAGTAGCAAGACAAACCTACAAGTAACATTTGGTGCTGGTGTGTGAACAATGTTTATTAATTCCTAACTAAATTAAATTAAAAGTATTATAGGAAATAATGTTTTGATATGAAGTAAAGTGAAAATTTAAAAAAAATGAAAGGAATATAATTTGCAGACAGAAAATGGCATTGAGAAAGCATTTTTGGGTAGCAAATAGTGGTTTTATACTTTAATTTACCACTGAGACCTGATAGTTATAAATATTTTTCCTGAACAATAATTCTGTGTCATTCAGTTCTCTTTTTGCCATGTTATATACAGAAGGCACAATTTAAAGAGGAAAGATTTCTTTTGGCTCACAGTATGGGAGGTGTCAGCCTATTGTTAACTTGTTCTGTCCCCTGGGAACAGCATGGTGTGAGGAAGGTGTAGCTCAGGAGGCTGTAGTTATTTGTTTTGTTTTTGTTTTTGTTTTTGTTTTTGTTTTTCTCTTTTGCTCTTTTGTGGTCCGGCCACCCAGCTCTCACGTAAATCATATGGAGGCTTATTTATTTATTTATTATGAATGTCTGGCTTTAGCTTGACTTGCTTCATGCTAGCTTTTCTTAATTTTAATTATCCCATCTATCTTATGCCTCTGAGCTTTTACCTTTTTATTTTTATCTCTGTATATCTTTCTTTACTTCTTACTCCATGGCTTGGTGTGTAGCTGGGTAGCTGGCCTCTTTAGTCCTCCTCCTCCTTTTGCTCCCAGATCTCCCTCTCCCAATTCATTCCTGCCAGTCCCGCCTATCCTTTCTCCTGCCTTGCTATTGGTCGTTCAGCTCTTTATTAGACCAACGAGGGGCTTTAGACAGGCAAAGTAGCACAGCTTCACAGAGTTAAACAAATACAACATAAAAGAATGCAGCATGTCTTTGCATCATTAAGCAAATATTCCACAGCATAAACAAAATAATACATCTTAAAATAATATTCCACAACAGGAGACAGCTCACCTAATGGTGGCATGGAAGTAAAAAAGAGGTGCTAAAAAGGGGCCTGAAACATGTGTGTTTTTCCTGGATATATACACATCTAAAGATATTCCTACCAGGATCTGCCTCCTACTTCCTACCACCTCTCTAAGTCACCATCTTGTTAAAAGTGCATCAGGACATTGACTATATTGATTAGATAAGAATGAGAGCTCATGGACTCTGTACTGACAACTGGGGAGCCTGCATGGAACTGAACTAAGCCCTCTGCTGTGGGCAACAGTTGTGTGGCTTGGTCTGTTTGTGGGGGCCCTGTCAGTGGCACCAGGAGCTATCCCTGGTGCATGAGCTGGCTTTTTGGAGCCCATTCTGTATGGTAGGGACCTTGATGTGGCAAGGAGTGGCTTGGTTCTGCCTCAACTTAATGTGCCAGGGTTTGTTGACTCCCCATGGGAAGCCTAGCCCTTTCTGAGGAGTGGGTAAGGGTGGGGCATGAGGGGAGTAATGGGAGAGCAAGAGGAAGGGAGGGAGGGGGAATTATGGTTGGTATGTAAAATGATTGGAAAATTTAAAATAAAAAAGGAACTTCATGATTCAGACACCTGTGTTGATTAGATCCATCAGTTAGGAACCAAGCCTTTGGTGGTTGGGGTCATGTTTTCAAGACATGCAACCTGTCTTCTAGAATGTTTAAAAATCAAAAAAGGAAAAAAGAGAATGAGGAACTCACAACACATTTTTCTTTCTCTGACAACAGAGTCGGGATTAAACTCATTATTTTTTGATAAAAAGGATAGGATGGATGCTCAGAAGATTCTGAAGATAAAGTGAAGCAGCACTGAAGTCACTCCGAGTGTTTTACTGACTCAGTGTCTTCAAAGCCTTCATTAAAACTTGGTTTACCTCAGACAGGACCTTCTGCATGATGTCAATATTTTAAGAAAAACATTGGAAGGAGCTGTTGCTTTTCAATGATTTATCTCCCTATTTAATATTTGAAGGAAAAATTCCAGAACCTGCCAGGGAGAAAAAAATCTATTGTCTGAAGAACAAAACAACAACAAAAGTGTTACCTTCTGAACACCCTCATTCCTTCCAGTACCCAAACTCTTTTTTCCCTTCTCCTGTGTGACCCCTTGGGTAGCTGGCCAGTCTCCATGCAAGAAAAATCGCAATTCTCAAACCACAAGCATGTCGGACCTACAAGCTCAGTTTCATTAACACCATTGTGAGGAGAGGTTTACAGGGTTCTCTAATTCCTATTGCTTGATATGTGCTCGCTAAAGAAATATAGCCTTCTCTTAAATAAAATTAAGGAAGTCCAGCTGATACCCAATTGAGAGAGTGCCAGGGCTGCCTGGCCTAGTGCCTAGAACCAGACTGCGAGTAATAAAGTAGAAGGGATTGCTGTGGCTCAGAAAGGAGCCTGTTTGGAAGCTGTGGAGGGAGTTAAGGAGGAGGCTGGTGAGAGGAGAAAAAGGAACTGCTGAGGGAATCCTGGAGGGGAGGAGGAGAACTAGGGGCTCAGAAAGGCTTCTGATAGATGGGTGTTCTCTATGAATGTCTCAATGAAACTGGTATTAAAATCTTTGAGGTTTGCCTGTCATTAGGTTTTGTAAGCATAGTATAATGTTTTCCTAAATGAAAGTGCTTTGCCACCTAAAAACCACTGGCCTTGTTTGTGGAAAAGAGGAGTGGCTCTCTAGGTGAGCTACCTAATTTTCTCTGTGTGGGAGAATGTTCATTTTCAAGGGAATATTGCAGTTCATACTTCATTGCCTTATGACTGTAGTCTAATCACTCATTAGAAGATTGTGTCTGCCATAGACAGATGAGACCTCACCTTCTCAGGTTGAAAATCTGGTCTTCTATTTCATCGCCAGACTGCAGCTTTTGTGGACACAATCTCCTGCCCATAGCCAGACCTCTGGAAAATTATCGATTCTTCTTTAGTGCTGAGTTTTTAATTCCCTCATTTCTGGATCCCATCAGTGTCCAAAGCCTTCCAAGGCTGTGTGTGAACCCTTCCCTGTTCTCCCTTATGAAGCCACACACATACACACTTGGTGGACAAGGATGTAGGTGGTGGGCGGTTAGCATTTTCTGTCATTCTAGGAGGCTTATAAGATCTGTCTATCAAAATATGAAATGTAGTCATGCTTATAGGTAGGCTAAGATCATCATTTTTAAAAATGCAAATCATCCTTAATGATATTCATAATCTAGTAATATCATTATTAGCTGGAACTTATTTTCTTCTCTGAACTCAAGTTCAGCAAACAACAACCACATTTTATATTTGTATTAAAACTTACTTATTTTATTGGATTCCAAATAATAATTGCCCTTTGGAATTGCAGACTGGGTTTGGCAAAGGCAGACTGTCTTTTATGGTGTTGAGAGTGGTAGAAGTAATTGGTAGTAGTTTGGTAAATACATCAGTGGATGATGCCAGTGGATTTCATATGCACAAGGACATATGTATCATCAGTACAGCATATTAATAGCACCATAAGAATCCAAAAAATGTTTCAGTACCATGAAAAATAAAATAAGATTCATAGAGGAT